GGACAATGTCAAGGGAAAAATTAATGAGAGAAAGTGAGGGAAAATAATGAAAAAATTAGAGACAAATACATATAATGAAAGTGGCGAAACGTTTTGGGAAGAATTGGAAAATGAATAATTTGATTAAAAAAACATTACTAAATTGTTTTAAACAAATTTTGTTATACTAATAGAAGAGAATTAAAGTTTTAAGAAAAAGAATTTACATTTTAAGTTTAAGATATTTTGTTAATTTGTAAATTTTCAATATTTTCCCACCAAAATTTCTTTAAATTAATTTCTGTGTTTTACTTATTTACAAAACAAAATCAATACTCAACTAATCACGTTTACTTTTCTCGCAAGATCAATGGCAGATAGCAGATATGTAAAAAAAAAACTTTACACATTTAATTGTTACATTTATAAATAAACTAATTAAAACAAAGGTGTACGAACGAGCTCTAGTTTTAATCTAATTAAACTCTCACACATGTCAATTAAAAATAAAAACAAAAAATCAAAATAGACAAAACTACAAAAACAATAAGAATTCAATTGTTGTCTAAATATCCGCAAACTCACTAACACACACACAAGCCCACACGTATACAGGTGGGTTGGTTTTGCTTTTTATAAAAATCATTATCATTTTTATTAAACATTTTTTTTAAATACACATACGCAACGTCTGACAAACTCACAAAACACCCAAGCAAATTCTCACTCATACAAAATAGAAAAAAAAAACTTTATCAGGAGACGAAAACAGTGTTGTTAAAATCTAAACAACATAAAAAACAGCTAAAATTAAGCGATTAACTATCTATAGATAAATCTCTATTAAAATTAGTATAAATGAATTTCCGCAGTAATTAATGCTTTTGTATGGAGTCTTTTTAATTGCAATCATTAACATTTTATTGGGCTAATTAAATAGGTTAATATTTAATTTTAGAATGTAAATAAAATATTTAAATTACGTATTTGTTAAAAACACTTTGTTTATGTCCACATATAAGGACCCTTGCAGAATATTTTTAATATTTATTTTTGGCTTGAAAACTAGTTAGTTAGTTAGATAGATAGTTAGTTAGTTAGCTAGTTAGTTAGTTAGTTAGTTAGTTAGTTAGTTAGTTAGTTAGTTCGAGTTATAGTTAGTTAGTTAGTTAGTTAGTTAGTTAGTTAGTTAGTTATGTTAGTTAGTAGGTTAGTTAGTTAGTTAGTTAGTTAGGTAAGTTAGTTAGTTAGTTGTAAGTAAGTTAGTAGTTAGTAGTAAGTTAGTTAGTTTAGTTAGTTAGAGTAGTTAGTTTAGTTAGTTAGTTAGTTAGTTAGTTAGTTAGTTGTAGTTAGTAGTTAGTTAGTTTAGTAGTTAGTTAGTTAGTTGTTAGTAGTTAGTTCGTTAGTTAGTTAGTTCAGTTAGTTAGTTATTAGTTAGTTAGTTAGTTAGTTAGTTAGTTAGTTAGTTAGTTAGTAGTTAGTGAGTAGTGAGTTAGTTAGTAGGTGTTATAGTAGTAGTAGTTAGTTGTTGTTAGTTTGTTAGTAGTTTAGTTGTTAGTGTAGTTAGTTAGTTAGTTAGTTAGTTAGTTAGTTAGTTAGTTAGTTAGTTAGTTAGTTAGTTAGTTAGTTAGTTAGTTAGTTAGTTAGTTAGTTAGTAGTTAGTTAGTTAGTTAGTTAGTTAGTTAGTTAGTTAGTTAGTTAGTTAGTTAGTTAGTTAGTTAGTTAGTTAGTTAGTTAGTAGTTAGTTAGTTAGTTAGTTAGTTAGTTAGTTGTTAGTTAGTTAGTTAGTTAGTTAGTTAGTTAGTTAGTTAGTAGTTAGTTAGTTAGTTAGTTAGTTAGTTAGTTAGTTAGTTAGTTAGTTAGTAGTTAGTTAGTTAGTTAGTTAGTTAGTTAGTAGTTAGTTAGTTAGTTAGTTAGTTAGTTAGTTAGTTAGTTAGTTAGTTAGTTAGTTAGTTAGTTAGTAGTTAGTTAGTTAGTTAGTTAGTTAGTTAGTTAGTTAGTTAGTTAGTTAGTTAGTTAGTTAGTTAGTTAGTAGTTAGTTAGTTAGTTAGTTAGTTAGTTAGTTAGTTAGTTAGTTAGTTAGTTAGTTAGTTAGTTAGTTAGTTAGTTAGTTAGTTAGTTAGTTAGTTAGTTAGTTAGTTAGTTAGTAGTTAGTTAGTTAGTTAGTAGTTAGTTAGTTAGTTAGTTAGTTAGTTAGTTAGTTAGTTAGTTAGTTAGTTAGTTAGTTAGTTAGTTAGTTAGTTAGTTAGTTAGTTAGTTAGTTAGTTAGTTAGTTAGTTAGTTAGTTAGTTAGTTAGTTAGTAGTTAGTTAGTTAGTTAGTTAGTTAGTTAGTTAGTTAGTTAGTTAGTTAGTTAGTTAGTTAGTTAGTTAGTTAGTTAGTTAGTTAGTTAGTTAGTTAGTTAGTTAGTTAGTTAGTTAGTTAGTTAGTTAGTTAGTTAGTTAGTTAGTTAGTTAGTTAGTTAGTTAGTTAGTTAGTTAGTTAGTTAGTTAGTTAGTTAGTTAGTTAGTAGTTAGTTAGTTAGTTAGTTAGTTAGTAGTTAGTTAGTTAGTTAGTTAGTTAGTTAGTTAGTTAGTTAGTTAGTTAGTTAGTTAGTTAGTTAGTTAGTTAGTTAGTTAGTTAGTTAGTTAGTTAGTTAGTTAGTTAGTTAGTTAGTTAGTTAGTTAGTAGTTAGTTAGTTAGTTAGTTAGTTAGTTAGTTAGTTAGTTAGTTAGTTAGTTAGTTAGTTAGTTAGTTAGTTAGTTAGTTAGTTAGTTAGTTAGTAGTTAGTTAGTTAGTTAGTTAGTTAGTTAGTTAGTTAGTTAGTTAGTTAGTTAGTTAGTTAGTTAGTTAGTTAGTTAGTTAGTTAGTTAGTTAGTTAGTTAGTTAGTAGTTAGTTAGTTAGTTAGTTAGTTAGTTAGTTAGTTAGTTAGTTAGTTAGTTAGTTAGTTAGTTAGTTAGTTAGTAGTTAGTTAGTTAGTTAGTTAGTTAGTTAGTTAGTTAGTTAGTTAGTTAGTTAGTTAGTTAGTTAGTTAGTTAGTAGTTAGTTAGTAGTTAGTTAGTTAGTTAGTTAGTTAGTTAGTAGTTAGTTAGTGTTAGTTAGTTAGTTAGTTAGTTAGTTAGTTAGTAGTTAGTTAGTTAGTTAGTTAGTTAGTTAATGTTTCTTGTCGATAGTCCTTCTATTATACATACATACATTTAAAATTTCATTATTTTCAAATCAGAAAAGTTTAGTTTATGGGTAAGTGCAACTTTATTTTCTATTTTAAACAGTGAATGAACACTTCATATTTGAGAACAAAAAAATGGTATCTTTTTTAAATGTAGATGTTAAGTTAAACCTACATTAAAAAATTCCCACGCTGTCTGATCGAGAAAGAAAATATGAAATTAATCAAAATATTGAAAAATAAAAACGCTAAATCATCAACATTTATCATTAGAAACAGTTTGAACAACAACAAAATAAATATGTAATTGTTTGATTGTATCTACTTTACAACCGGTAAACATATTTTAATATTTACACACAGATACTCACTTAAACTAATACACATGTAAACAGAGAGATTAGGCGAGTAATGAAAATGAAATTGTTTTACTTTTTGTTTTTATTTTCGTTGTTTTTGTCTAGTTTTCTTTTGGCATTACACGATAAATTTGTATTTTTTGGCGACAATTTGCTGCAATTTAATTTAAAGTGAGTGACGGATGATGTCGATGATGATAAGCGCTGTTTGAGCGCAGTTTAATGTTTAAACAAATATTGAATGAATGTTATTTTTCGGTGTGTAAAGTGGTTGGTTTACATTCAGATACAATATTTAACTTACAGAATGAGAACTGTAGTGGTCGTTGGTTGGTTAGTCAGTCATACGTTCATTCATTATATTGTTTGTTGTTATTATTTGTTTTTTTTTATAAAAATTTTATTTATTTCATTTCACTACTATAGTACATAATTTTTACGACTATATGTTATAGCTGTTGTATGTGATAGTTACAACAAACATGGTTACAAAAGAAAATACCATACAATACAGTGGGTTCATATCAGAGAAGGGTAATTAAAACGTCAAATTGTACCATAAATAACAAAATAGCTTGTACGTACTTGAATTTACTTTTCGTTCAGTTTTAATTCCGTTTTAGTTCTAGTTCTATTTCAGTTCTGGCTCAGTTCTAGTTCAGTTCTAGTTCAGTTCTAGTTCAGTTCTAGTTCAGTTCTAGTTCAGTTCTAGTTCAGTTCTAGTTCAGTTCTAGTTCAGTTCTAGTTCAGTTCTAGTTCAGTTCTAGTTCAGTTCTAGTTCAGTTCTAGTTCAGTTCTAGTTCAGTTCTAGTTCAGTTCTAGTTCAGTTCTAGTTCAGTTCTAGTTCAGTTCTAGTTCAGTTCTAGTTCAGTTCTAGTTCAGTTCTAGTTCAGTTCTAGTTCAGTTCTAGTTCAGTTCTAGTTCAGTTCTAGTTCAGTTCTAGTTCAGTTCTAGTTCAGTTCTAGTTCAGTTCTAGTTCAGTTCTAGTTCAGTTCTAGTTCAGTTCTAGTTCAGTTTTAGTTCAGTTCTAGTTCAGTTCTAGTTCAGTTCTAGTTCTGCTCTGGTTCAGTGCTATTGGGTTTGATCAGGATGCGTTGATTTATAGATACGAATCTTGGATAACCTAGTACGAATGAAATTCCAAAGTACCTAAAAGTACAATTTTCCCCTCATTGCTATCACTGCTTCATAATGTAGCATACACATTCAATTGTATTTCGTATTGCGGTTGCTATTGTTGCTACTTTCTGTTGCTGTTGTTGCTCATATGTATTGTTGTAGATTTTTTGTTCACTTTATAGTTCAGAATTTGTTCCGTATCTATGGCTGTGTGTGTTTGTGAATTCTCTATTTTCTTTTCGATGTGTGTAAAATATTTTGTTTTTGTTTGCTATTTTATTTGTTGGCTGTCGTTTCTGTAAAGCGTTTGTTAATATTCTTTGCTGTGTGTTTTTTTATTTTTTATTATTATTTTTGTTTTATTTTTTTTATTATTTAACGCCTCTCGACTGCTCGATGATTTTGAAATTTTCAGTAATCGTTCAGATTTTGAACGTAACAGTTTAGATTTAAATTAAAAATACAGAAATCAAATCATATATAAACTTTGAAATGAAAAGATTCACACTCACACTAAATTGTTAGACCTGAAAGAGAGAGGATAAACATTGAGTGGTGTCCAACCGGAAGCTAAAAATATTTGTATTAACGGTTTTTTAAATGAAAATAAAAAATTGCAAACATTTAACGAGAAATAAAATTGTTAAATAAAAAAACTGTTTATTTAAATCGCGTGCGTTGGTTTATTTAAAAAAAATATATTTATTTATTTGCATATTGCTGGCAATTTTGTGCGTGTGTGTTTACCAAAAAAGGATATTAAAAGTATTTCATTTTAGTTTCGATTATTTACAAACTGGTGTTTAGTAATATTTGCTAAAAAGGATTATTATAAAAGATAATTAATATTGCGGGTTATTATAAAAATAATATTCAACATGTTGTCATTTGTTACAATAATCGCCGGTAAATATTAAATATGTATATTATTTGTTAATGTTTTTATATTTTTGTGGTTTACATTTACATATTTTGCTTTTTATATTACAATTTTAAAATATCCTATGTACATAGGATATTTTTTATTTTTATTACTTCAAAAATTAACAATTATAAATTCTGTCAAATTTATCTAACTTTTAGAATCAGTTTTGTAACGGTTTTTATATAAATTTATGTACGTTATTAGTGTAAAATGTCTTCTTTTCTTTTGGATTTAAAAATATTAAAAAGAGAAAAATTTTGTTTTGCATTTTATTAAGATGATAGTTCTAGTTCAATTCTAGTTCAGTTCTAGTTCAGTTCTAGTTCAGTTCTAGTCAGTTCTAGTTCAGTTCTAGTTCAGTTCTAGTACAGTTCTAGTTCAGTTCTAGTTCAGTTCTAGTTCAGTTCTAGTTCAGTTCTAGTTCAGTTCTAGTTAAGTTCTAGTTCAGTTCTAGTCATTTCTAGTTCAGTTCTAATTCAGTTCTAATTCAGTTTTAGTTCAGTTCTAGTTCAGTTCTAGTTCAGTTCTAGTTCAGTTCTAGTTCAGTTCTAGTTCAGTTCTAGTTCAGTTCTAGTTCAGTTCTAGTTCAGTTTAGTCTAGTTCAGTTCTAGTTCAGTTCTAGTTCAGTTCTAGTTCAGTTCTAGTTCAGTTCTAGTTCAGTTCTAGTTCAGTTCTAGTTCAGTTCTAGTTCAGTTCTAGTTCAGTTCTAGTTCAGTTCTAGTTCAGTTCTAGTTCAGTTCTAGTTCAGTTCTAGTTCAGTTCTAGTTCAGTTCTAGTTCAGTTCTAGTTCAGTTCTAGTTCAGTTCTAGTTCAGTTCTAGTTCAGTTCTAGTTCAGTTCTAGTTCAGTTCTAGTTCAGTTCTAGTTCAGTTCTAGTCGTTCTAGTTCAGTTCTAGTTCAGTTCTAGTTCAGTTCTAGTTCAGTTCTAGTTCAATTCTAGTTCATTTCTAGTTCAGTTCTAGTTCAGTTCTAGTTCAGTTCTAGTTCAGTTCTAGTTCAGTTCTAGTTCAGTTCTAGTTCAGTTCTAGTTCAGTTCTAGTTCAGTTCTAGTTCAGTTCTAGTTCAGTTCTAGTTCAGTTCTAGTTCAGTTCTAGTTCAGTTCTAGTTCAGTTCTAGTTCAGTTCTAGTTCAGTTCTAGTTCAGTTCTAGTTCAGTTCTAGTTCAGTTCTAGTTCAGTTCTAGTTCAGTTCTAGTTCAGTTCTAGTTCAGTTCTAGTTCAGTTCTAGTCAGTTCTAGTTCAGTAGTCTAGTTCAGTTCTAGTTCAGTTCTAGTTCAGTTCTAGTTCGTTTAGTTCAGTTCTAGTTCAGTTCTAGTACAGTTCTAGTTCAGTTCTAGTTCAGTTCTAGTTCAGTTCTAGTTCAGTTCTAGTTCAGTTCTAGTTCAAGTTCTAGTTCAGTTCTAGTTCATTTCTAGTTCAGTTCTAATTCAGTTCTATTCAGTTTTAGTTCAGTTCTAGTTCAGTTCTAAGTTCAGTTCAAGTAGTTTCTAGTTCAGTTCTAGTTCAGTTCTAGTTCAGTTCTAGTTCAGTTCTAGTTCAGTTCTAGTTCAGTTCTAGTCAGTTCTAGTTCAGTTCTAGTTCAGTTCTAGTTCAGTTCTAGTTCAGTTCTAGTTCAGTTCTAGTTCCAGTTCTAGTTCAGTTTAGTTCAGTTCTTTCTAGTTCAGTCTTCAGTTCTAGTTCAGTTCTAGTTCAGTTCTAGTTCAGTTCTAGTTCAGTTCTAGTTCAGTTCTAGTTCAGTTTCTAGTTCAGTTCTAGTTCAGTTCTAGTTCAGTTCTAGTTCAGTTCTAGTTCAGTTCTAGTTCAGTTCTAGTTCAGTTCTAGTTCAGTTCTAGTTCAGTTCTAGTTCAATTCTAGTTCATTTCTAGTTCAGTTCTAGTTCAGTTCTAGTTCAGTTCTAGTTCAGTTCTAGTTCAGTTCTAGTTCAGTTCTAGTTCAGTTCTAGTTCAGTTCTAGTTCAGTTCTATTTCAGTTAGTTCAGTTCTAGTTCAGTTCTAGTTCAGTTCTAGTTCAGTTCTAGTCAGTTCTAGTTCAGTTCTAGTTCAGTTCTAGTTCAGTTCTAGTTCAGTTCTAGTTCAGTTCTAGTTCAGTTCTAGTTCAGTTCTAGTTCAGTTCTAGTTCAGTTCTAGTTCAGTTCTAGTTCAGTTCTAGTTCAGTTCTAGTTCAGTTCTAGTTCAGTTCTAGTTCAGTTCTAGTTCAGTTCTAGTTCAGTTCTAGTTCAGTTCTAGTTCAGTTCTAGTTCAGTTCTAGTTCAGTTCTAGTTCAGTTCTAGTTCAGTTCTAGTTCAGTTCTAGTTCAGTTCTAGTTCAGTTCTAGTTCAGTTCAGTTCTAGTTCAGTTCTAGTTCAGTTCTAGTTCAGTTCTAGTTCAGTTCTAGTTCAGTTCTAGTTCAGTTCTAGTTCAGTTCTAGTTCAGTTCTAGTTCAGTTCTAGTTCAGTTCTAGTTCAGTTCTAGTTCAATTCTAGTTCATTTCTAGTTCAGTTCTAGTTCAGTTCTAGTTCAGTTCTAGTTCAGTTCTAGTTCAGTTCTAGTTCAGTTCTAGTTCAGTTCTAGTTCAGTTCTAGTTCAGTTCTAGTTCAGTTCTAGTTCAGTTCTAGTTCAGTTCTAGTTCAGTTCTAGTTCAGTTCTAGTTCAGTTCTAGTTCAGTTCTAGTTCAGTTTTAATTCAGTTCTAGTTCAGTTTTAGTTTAGTTCTAGTTCAGTTTTGGTTCAGTTCTAGTTGGTTGCTGTTTATCAAGTTCTTTTTCGTTAATTATTTTGTATCAAATGACTATAAAAGTCACTATGACTGCAAATAAAATTGCAAAAATTCTATGAACCCTATATAAATTCTCCAAATTTTTTATAATTTATATATTAAAACTTATCTAATATTTTTAAATTTATTATATTTCCTTTCTTAAAAAACACATTTCTTTTCTATTTTTATAAAAAAAAAAACTTTTAAATAATACGACAATAAATCTTTTGAACAAGTATTACGGTAGGAAGATTGCCAAAAAATTATATGTATATGTACTATATAAAAATTGACAAATAAAAGTCACCCTTATCATCACACATTCGGCAAAAAAAATCTTGTTGTCTTAAAAAAATCTAGCTAAAATAAGAAAATGTACATAATTTCTTTATTATCAAATTGAAATGAAATATTAATACGAACTATGCTCTATAAAAAGAACACTAACTTGCAAACTAATTAAAATTGAAAAAAAAAAAGAATTAATTAAAACTTATGGAATGGTAACAAGGTCAATAACAAGCAAAAAATAAAAACAAAAGACCACCAATGAATTGACTAAATAAATACTCATTTAGAAGAATTTAAAAGCCTAATATCAAATTATTTATCAATGGATAAAAATATAAAGAACAAAGTTCAATTTTTATGTGAAATATTTCAGATTATAAGAACATGTACTAAAAATTGATAATGAAATATTGAATGAAAACAAAACTAACTAATAATTTTAAATTGTTATAACACTATTATTTAATAGCAATTTACAAATTAACAAAAAAATTCGCTAAATTTGAAAGGAAATTCCCAATTTATGATTAAAATATTTGCATTTGTAATTTTCCCCTTTAGGAGCTTCCCTTAACATAGACTTACTTTTGATATGAGAACAATGGGATTATGTATGTCTGACGGCGAAACAATATATTTATCTGATTTGAAATAATAAAACAAAATAGTATCCCACGACGATATAAATGAATTATATTCGTAGTTGATATACCTGTATAATATTTGAAATAATGTATTTAGTTTTAGTATTATAGTATTTTTGTGGCAATAATTGTTTTAGAACATTATCAGTTAAAAAAAAAATAACGGATATTATTAAGAAGACAAATAGTTTTGAATAAACTTAAAGTAATAGCTTCAATTTATATAAAGTGTTAGAATTAGAATATCTTTAGATCTCGAAAGAGCTAATTACTAGATCCTATGTGTTAGTTATTTATTATATATGTAAATCACAATTATTAATACATAATTGATGTCATATTTTCTTTGCCTAAAGGCTATTTCATTAAAATATTTATTATTTATATTCTTTTAATTTTTTCTAAGCAAATATTTATTTATTATTTAATGAATTTTCATTTCATAAAAATATGCAATTTTTTGCACAAATTTAATTTTCACCCCCATAACTTGATTAGCAGGTACTTTAAATTTACACTTTTACAGCATTTGAAAAGCGTCATGTTAAGTGCATCAAATTTTATACATATTTAAGGTAGTCACAGTTTCTAGGAACCAAAACACTGTAAAATTGGAATCAATTTTCAAAAATATACATTAATTCATATAAGTAGACATCGAAGTCGATTTAGTGATGTTCGTTTGCCTATCCTTCTCTATACTATACTGAAAACAATTTTCTAAAGATCCCAGATATCTTCTAGATCCAAATCTTAAATAACACAGGCCGACAAAAAAAGTCGAAACCCTGAGGCCAAGTTATACTTTTCTAACGGACTGAGCCGCGCTAAATCCCTGACCTCAGTTATAGCATACTAAAGTTTGAAAAAATAATTTTTTGCCCTTTTTGAGACGTTATAACAGCGCCAAGACAACGAAGAAGAAAGAAGATATGTCAAATGTTAATCCTTTATTTTAAAGTCGACAGAATGGACTTTTCGATGGCATAAAATATTGTATACATAAAGTTGCATTGGTGCTATTATAATGTCTCAAAAATGGAAAAAATTGCGTTTTTTTCAAATTTTAGGACAAGATATCTCAAATCCCAAAAATGAATGAGAAATTCTGAGGATTTAGCGCAGCTAAATCTATTAGAAATGTATACTTTAGACTATCGGCCTGTGTAATTCTATCAGACATGTTTTCAAAAAATTTTGTTATTTTGTTATTAAAATTCAGTAAAATCGGTTCATAAGTAACGGAGTTATGAGGAAAATTTTTTACAATCATCACTAATTGATCAATCTTTTTGATATTGAAATAGAATTGCA